TGACCAATTAGAAGCTGATATTTCCTAAAAATATTTACTGAGTAGGCTCTCTGATCTACTTTTTTTGCACAAAAATGTACAAAATTAAACATTGATAAGAAAGTGGTAGCGGGATGCTACAAAGTAAAATCTACTTCGTTTCTTCTTGAAATTGCACCATATGGGATTTTTACATTCATGAGGATAATAGTTGATCCCCAGTTTAAAGAGGTTAGTGATTGGGGAAGAATTTGTTTCACCAGACTGTTATTATTTCATTTCCCTTTATGGAATAAATATTTAATAAAAGATCAACCTGAACCTGATATATACTTCCTTGTATTCTGTATTGTCATGTTGGAAACATTTTTGCTGGTATAGATATTATATTCGTAGATATCACCTTGGTAGATACGCATAGCACTTCATATACTTATGTTATTAGTTGAAAATTCCTCCTGGCATAGCTCTTCTAGACAACATTTTAGTAAAAAGAGTAAACAATTCATATTCTACTATTTGATAAGTATTTCTAGTTTTTTTTTTTTTTTTTTTTTTTGTATCACGCCACGTCTGGAGAGTGCCAAAAACAATGTGGAATAAATACGTCTGTACGTAGGTCAAAATAAATTCCTTTAATCTGTCTTTTTGGCGTGTCATGTCAGAGCTACAGCCAAGTATCAAGTACTTTTTTTTTTAATCCATTCATTCATTATTCATTAACTTCCTTGGGTCCTATGTCTGTTGGTGCCAACAGCATTCTGGATAATCGCTCTTTAGTAAGATTATCATAATTGTTGAACTCTATCGTGTTTTTTTTTTTTTTATTTTACAGGCAGAGTATCAGGACATGTTTAACTGTCTTTGTACAGCTTCAGGTGGCTGAGTTTTGAATTCAGAACTATGTCCTAGACTGGTTTCCAAACATGGCTAGAGAGACCAGTATGATATGCTATTTAACCCATAGTGAAAAGTGCAAATTTGAATTGATCCTTATCACCAACTGTGATTAATTTTAATGAATCAAAATATTTTAATTAATTTTAATTTTTACAATTCCAAATCTAATGTTCAGTTATTGAGAAACTGAGAACAATACCTGATGACCTTCTGACCTCTTGTACCTTTAGTATGAGATGCTACCCAAAAGATCCAGGAAAAACAAAAATTACTTATCCTAATAGTTTCTACTGTTTCCTTTAACTATAGAGACCAAATTTGAAAGAAAAAACGGAGAAGGTTTTTATTCCACTCATTTGTGTCCATATAAAAGGAAATGGACCAACTTTTTTAAAATTGGGATGGAGCCTGACTAAAACGTGCCCAGACCTGCCAAGGGGCCAAAAAAATCAATAAAAATAACAATATATCCAAATAACATCAATATTCCCCTAAATGATTATCATTTTTAGAGATTTTTTGGGCCCCATGTAGGTCTGGGCACGTTTTGGTCAGGTTCCATCCCAATTTTCAAAAAGTCGGTTCATTTCCTTTTATTTGGACAGAAACCGGGGTTCAAAACATGAAAATATAAAAATATATAGAAAAAATTACCAGCAATACATTCTTGGGGGGAAAAAAATTACCAAAGCTCAAAAGAAAAGAAATTTTTTGCATTAATACATAAAGAGTTGATAAAAACCTATAGCCCCCTGCACCTAGTATTATGGACTTTTATCAGTACTCCTTTTTGAGTTGGTTAAACAAATCAAACAAGCCAAAAATCATTTCAATTGCAAGTAGGTTTTTAGAGTGGAATTGCTAGCTGCAAACCCAGCTGCTTTCAAATTCAGGGTTGTTTCATTTCTAGACTGGATGACAACCAAGGCTAGAGATCAAAGTCTACCCTGCTATTCAACCCATAGTTGCAAGGAGGAGAGATAGATTCATATTTTTCGCAAATGAAAACATGAATGCATAAAACCTATGCTGATTCTGTTACGCTATGAGCTCATGTAGACTTTGAAATAGAAGCTCAATAAAGCCATAAAATGATTGATGATGTTAATGAAGGAGCACATTTCTAAGTACCTGCTTAAAAGAATCATTTATTAGGTATCTTAAAATATCCCATTGATTGAGTGATTGTCGATTTCTTTGCTTGAAAAGAAATTGGCTGGCTATGCCTCTTTGTCAATCAATGTATCAAAATCTGGCAGGTGATTTCAGATTTTCTTCTTGTTTTTTTGAACAAAAATATTTAGAAGTGATGGGTGGCATAAAGGCTACAGATGACTGAGTTGTTGATGGCTAATTGGTTAAATCAAGTGCTACACGACAAGGGCCATTGCTATGCTGGACATCCACTAAGCAAATTCTTTACCCTTCAAATGTATCATTTAAACAATCTTCTCATTTTTCTCTAAGCTAATGTTTTATGCAGCATCTCAAAAGGTTATGTAAACATAAAATGAAGCTTTTACTCTACTTTTCAGTGACCTGCCAATGACGAGACCTCATCTTGCATCTCCATCCCCACTGTACATTCACAAGTTAACGCAAGATGGAAACAGGTGCTGTGACAGGAAATGAGAAATTGAACACCGTTTTCAATAATAATAATAATAATAATAAGAGCTGTAACAATTTTATGGGACGACACAATACACATCAAAGCTAATCGCCCAGACATCGTTATTAGAGACTGTAAACAAAGAAATTGCCTCCTTATTGACATAGCATTCCCCGCAAACTGTAATGTATCTTTGAATATCTTCAAAAAGTTACCAAAATACAAGGACCTTAAAATCGAAATCTCCAAAATGTGGCACATGAGAACATCAACAATTCCAGTTGTAGTTGGAGCCCTCAGATAGGTTGGAAAAGATTTCAATAGACTCATTGAAAGGATTCCTGAAAGCCCATGCCTTAAAGAAATACAAAAAATTGTTCTCATGAGTACAGCCCACACATTACGAAGGGTTTTATCTATGTAAAATATGTGCAACTTTTTTAAATGCTTCTTTTTTTTTTTGTATTTCAAATTGCTCAGTGGAAAAATGTCATGATGTCATTTCTGAGCTTATATTTCTGATCGGGGTCTGGAAAGAAATGAGCATACACTTGAAAAAAAAAATCCTAATATTTTTACTTTATATTTTATGAAAAAAAAAAAAAAAAAAAAAAATAGGAGACTATGCTAAATAAATTTTACATGAATATGTGCAGCTGAAAAACGTGTTTAAATATGCTTGCACATGATCTATGTTTATGCAGGCGTATTTTATTTTACATTTATAAATTATTTACATTTTATAAATTTTGTAATAGAATTAAGATAAAAATAAAAAAATAAAACGTCCATATGTTAATTAAAAATATTTTATTGCTCAAAAAATATGACACAAAATGAGCAAATATCAATTGACATTAAGATACCATTTAACTTGACTCACCATTGTCTTAAAATTTCTATTTTTGATAAAGTTAACTGCAATAAAATGAGGTGCCTGGATACCTTTTAACATGAACTTACTTTAAAACAAAGTGTTGAATGTTATATCACATTGTATGTTAAGATTTGACAGAACTTACACATATATTTAATATATCTGCATCAAAATGCCAGCAGATAGGTTTACCTATCATCTGGGTCATCCTCCTCCTCTTCGATCTTTTAAACAAATGTAAAGGTTTATCTCTTGTTTCTTATTTACGATTGGGTTTCCGGTTCCTTTTAAAGCCTACTTCAGCTCTATACTCCTAACGTTTGCCTATTCCTACGCTAACTCCACACAGTAATCTTCTACTTTGAGTGGCTCTTAGGACTTGTATTAGGTGAATATTAGTAAAAAAAAGAAAAATTTTTCTATTGATATGAGAAACTTTAATATATGCTAACACTTTGCAAGCTTTGGGTCCTGTCACTGGATCTAACTTACACCTTTATCCTTTATCAAAGAGTGTGAGTTCAATACCAGGTTATGGCAGTGGAGAACTTGGAGAGGGGAATTAACAGGAGATAACTGATAAGTGATATCCATTAGACATGGTACGTGAACTAGAACAGTCTACCCCAGCGAGCAAAATAAAGGTTCAGTTTGACATTCCAACCACCTGAAGAAGGCTGGAGCGTACAACGGCCGAAATGTTGTGATAAATATAGCAACAAAGATGAGGACGATAGTTCAAACAATGTAAAGAGTGTAATACCTCATCTCAGACATATAGATAGATAGCTTGTCTAGTAACCATCTATGCCATACCTTCTCAAAGGCCTTTGAAATATCTAATGCAATCATCCTTGATAAGAATTTGTATTCTGATTGATTGACAGTATATCAGCAGTGGACCAAGCTGATCAAAACCTGTACTGTTTGTTGCTAAAGAGTTTGCCCCCATTGAGGTGAACAACAACAACCTTGTTGATTATAGCTTCAAAAAGTTTTCTAATGACACTGAGGAGGCTGATAAGTCTATATTGAGGTTGCACGCTCACCTGCATCCACTTGACACCTTCCATTGACTTGGAAAGGATTTCTTCTTCAAGCAGCATTTAAATGATTCTACATAAAATAAACATTTTAAAAAAAGGAAAAAAAAGAAAGAAAGCAGAAAGAAAAGAAAAAGGTGGAAAGTATACATTGGATGGGGAAGTGCTGAAGTAAATTTATTTGATGTTCACATTGGTTGGTTCGTTCAGGTCAGCTAAACTGAAAATAAAGCTTCTAGAGAAAATTTTCCATTGGTTTAAACCAATCAACCAGTCAAAAAATAAATTTCCATTGGTCCAAAGCAGCCCACCAAAAAATTATCATACAAAAAAGAAAAATAACAAAATAATATTTTTTCTTTTTTTTAATAATCAATAAACAATACAAAAATCAATTTTAGTCAAATATTTATTTATCTAAAAAGAAAACGTCCCTCTCAAATGTACAAAAGAAAAAAAAGAAAAAACAGTTTCCACCTGCAGTTCATTTTTGCTGCCATTTCAATTTTTGATGTTACCCCAAAATCTCCAAGGTTTGGTAATTCCAAAATTGTTAATTACATTAATATATGATACCAACAGGCTTCACTTATAATTCCTTCTTCTTCTTATGTCGAATTGCATCAATTTCAATAAATGTAAGTTCTGAATTGAATTTCTCATTCGTATGTGTTACTGAAAAGAAATTAAAAACGTTTTTATCAAAATTTTGATTGTGTATTTTTAAATTTAAAGGAATACTATAATCAGCTACACTTTACAAAAATGATTTAAAAAAAAAAAAAAAAAAGCTTAATAAAGTTGTCAATATAATTATAATCGAATTATAAAGCATGTATAAGTAAAAAATTTAAAGGCGAAGAAATGAAAAAATTAAAACCGGAAGGCAGATCAAGAGGGTGGTAACTGAATGTTTACTATATAATCTTTCGTAATGCAATTAACATCCACTACAAAATCAAGTGCATTGACATGTAAGAGATTCTGTGAAGTAAATGAATTCTTCAGTAATAAATTGTAGATCAAAAAATTCAAGAATTCTCATAAGTTGTCTCTGAAGAGATTTTTTTTTTTTTAATTTGGTATGACCCCATATAAAACAGGAAAGCCTTACACAAGGGGTTATGAGGTGTGGAAAAATTAGGAACAGAAACATTAATAATGAGCAGAAAGAGTAATCAGGCGCACAGTAGATAGTGATTGACATTGCATTTAAAATTTTGCAGATTAATGTTGGCTGGAAAGCATGGAACCAAAAGGGAGTTCTGCAAGTGAGAAAAGTAACAGTTAACATTGAATTTACGGCTACTTCTAGCCCAGCAGAACCATAAATTGATGAGAGGTCAATGCCAGTCTAGTACTGCGCTTAAATTCAAAATGGCTAGATACAATAGTGAAGAGTTTATGGCTGAAATATTGTTGACTTTTTATTTTGTAAGACAAATCAAGTCTTCACTAAATATTTCAATTTTCTTCCAAATATACATACATTATATATATATATACTTTAAAAATTAGGAGATCAGTTGATTTTGCTACCTTGATTTCAACCTTAAAGTATCCTCAGACAATTTTTATCAATTGATATAAAAAACAATGAACCAATTTTTAAAAATAAAGCATTGGAAGGTCATTTGATAAAAATCACCTGAGGATACCATAAGAAATTATTTTGTTTTTAGTTTAGCCAGGTAATAGCGGACACGAAAAATCAAATGCAAATCGAAATATGTTCTTTTTAGAAATGTGTTATTGTTAACAGATAAGAACTTATGGAGCGTGCTGTCACCATGCTATGGTTGAATTTTTTTTAAATTTAAGAGAGTGCATTTTTTTTACTAATATGGTAATTTGAGAATTTTTTTTTTTGTTGTAGGAGTTTTTCAGTCAATGTGGCATGAACTAAATTGTTCAATAAATAGAGTAATGTCTCAGCTGTTATCCCGAAAATTTGCATGTCGAATCAGTTCTTTTAAATCAAATATGTGGCGCAGTTCAATTTATATTACAATGAATCATTCATACAAAAAGTAGATTAGTAAAGTTAATGATATAAATAGCGAAAAAATAATTTCCATGCCTGAGGATGGCTGTATGTACAGCCAAAAGTACTAGCAGATTAAAAACAGACCTTATACAACTTGATGTTATTAAAAACAAGGATCATAACATTCATCGAGTGATTCGTAGGTTAATGCAACTTTAATAAATTTGTTTGCGAAGATGTTTAACTTTACTAATCTACTTTTTATATGAAAATAAGTTTATCGATCTTTATATTTTGGAATTATATAATTTATCTTTATATCCTTATATTTCCTTGATAAAATGTTCTTTGAAGCTTTAAAATAAAAAGTTATTTCACATTTAGACTTTTTCTTAACATCGTTCTGATCTTTATGCTCGCTACTGTAGTGTTTATTGATGTATACAGATTAATGGTTTAAATTAAATAGTAAATGACATAAAATGCATGTTTATAAATATCCAAACTGACAATGAAGTCAAAAACTGAGTACATTTGGTGGTGGCGGGAGGGGGTTGGGTGCACTATGTATGTATGAAGTAGGTACTGAAAAATTCTCTGCCTGACCAAGAGGTTTTTTTCCCCATTCTTATGTATTGGTCAGATCTGAGGAAGGGGGTCAAACAGAGAGCTTTTGAGTAGCCACTCAGAAAATTTGCTGAAATATGACACAAAATGAATATAAATTCAAATTTCATAAAAGTTACTTCAAATAAGTTTGAGCAAAACAAAAACCTATTTTTTTTTTTTTTATAATTGATGATGACATAAAGCTCAATCCTTGTAGAGGAAATGATTTAATCAATGATATTCATATATATATATATATATATATATATATATATATATATATATATATATTTTTTTTTTTCCTGAAGTTATAGCAGTTCATTTTCTTTCTTTTTTTGTTTGAACTCTTATTAACCTCTCTGTTATTTCTAACAGAATCTTTCAGCTGGTATATTTGTCAGCCTTTCTATATGGTTGGAACTTCTGGGAGGACTGAATTCTTTAAAGAGTTGGTTTACTGGACAAACTTATTAACGAATGCTCTATAATGAGGTGACCAATATTAAATTATGATCACAGAAGTCATTTGAATGGCATAATTGTTCTAGGAGAAGCAGGAATTATTTCCAGGCTATCTACAAGGTGATACTGGAAAGTTCCAAGACTAGGATCTCTTAGACTGATTCCAATCATTAGGTAAAGCTGGTGGATTACTCAGCAATGAGCCTTGTAGATGAATTCATATTCTCTCCAAATTTTCTGACATTTTGTTGGTGATCCTGAACCAACACCTCACCATCTTGCATGCATACACTTGATGAAGGCCGGAGGGTCAAAACATGGTAACAAATTCAACAACGATAACAAAAATAGTCCGCATGTATATAATAATACATCCTCATCTCAGAAATTCATAGAGAAATCATCTTAAAATTATTAGGTGCTTTTTTTCAGCTTTCAAATCACAACTATTTTTTCTCAAACATTTCAGTTAAATCCCCTTGAATAATTTTACACGGCTTTTATAAGAATTTTGCTTGATTCCTTCATTTTGTAAAGAAAGAACATTCTAACAATTCACAATTAAAACATATTTTAGTCTTCATCAAAAAAGTTTAATTGACAATTTACCTGCTTTGCATTGTGACCAATTTTCTATTTTTGTTTATTATTTTTTAAAATTCTCCTAATTTTCAATTTTGTTCATGATAAACAGAAAATATAATTCATAAATGTTGTTCGTTAAAGATTCATTCAAGTTTTTTTTTTAACCAAAACTTGACAGAAAAAATATATCTGTCTATATTTCTGAGATGAGGTATTATGTACACTATTTACATTATTTGGACTATTGTCCTCATTTTTGTCGCCATATTTATTACAACGCTTCGGCCTTTCAGTATCTGTCTATATTTCTGAGATGAGGTATTATGTACGCTATTTACATTATTTGGACTATTGTCCTCATTTTTGCCGCCATATTTATTACGTTTCAGCCATTGTATGCTCCGGCCTTCTTCAGGTAGCAAGGACACATGGCACAGTGGATAAAGGCATTGGCTAGATTCAGTGACAGGACCCAAAGATTGTGAGTTCAATACCCGGTTAAGGCAGTAGAGAACTTGGAGAGGGGAATTAACAGGAGATAACTGACAACTGACATCCATTAGACATGGTACATGGAACTAAAACAGTCTACCCCAGTGAGTGAAATAAAGGGTTCAGTTTGACATTCCAACCACCTGAAGAAGGCCTGAGTGTACAATGGCCGAAACGTTTTAATAAATATGGCGACAAAGATGAGAACAATTGTCTGAATAATGTAAATAGCAAGATAAAAATATAATTTTCTTGCTTTGTTTATTAAAGCAAAATTAGTTCTTAAAATTAGACCCAATTGTCTGTTTTTACATTTCAAGATCAAATCATACAAATTAAGAGTTCTTTAATGCGCACCATTCATTTTCTTATTTAGAGAAATTAGTTTTTTTTAGAATAAATATAAAAGGATTTTAATAAAGATTTTTATCATCCCAGAAAACCTAACCAAGCATCTCAAATTAATGTTCCATCATCAATGGCATGATATTATTCTTCAATTCCAGCCATAATGCTCTATAAAAACAACAAAGATAAAGAGAAGACTTTGAAAAATATAGAGAAAAAAAAGTAACTCTTTTAGATTAAACTTTTTCTCTTAGTTGAATATTATTTAAAAACATTATTCCTGGTGACATACCTGTATTTTTGGATTTTTCAATTTTGTACTGTTCAGGACTCAGTGGTTTTCCATTATTTGCCTGGTAAAAATTAAATATATATATATGTATCATGTGTGATTAACTTTATAAAAAAAGAACATTCATGCTTTATTCACATCAAGTGATAATCAAGTAATTAACAAGTTTAAAAGACATCAATTCTAAAATAAAACAAAAACAGGAAAATTTACAGGCTTATGTGTTAGAATCATTTTTGTTAAATTTATTTCCAAGTTTTTATCAGATTTCTTATTAATGTCATTGTTTTGTGTCAATTAATATTCAGCTACAAAACAGGCCAATGTCAAATATGTATTTAGTCATTTAGTCAGCTTAATTATGGCACAAGATCAAGAATATGGAAATTCAACTCCTGAATAAGAATAATCTAGTGGATGACCCATACTGATGCCCTTGTACCAGTCAATAACTACATAGACATAGGGATCAAATCAATAAATTTTATGTGTGGATTTTGATCTGAAATTTTCACAAGATATTATTATGCAATAGAATCTGGTTAGGTGCATTGAGAAGGAAGATTAGATTTGTTGTGTAAAAGTTTTTTTTGTCATTATATATATATATATATCTCCAAGTACAGGTTTGGTACAGATGGAATAAAATTCCAATAACCAAAAACACTATTCTTAAAAGAGTGCTCAATACAGAGTAGAGCAAATAATATTTATTCAAAATTATAACATATGCATGTTATACCACTACAAAAATAGCCATTTTTTTTCAAGAGAAGTGTTGAAACAAAATAACCATTATTGTAGTGATGTTATAACATGCATATGTTATAATTTTGGATAAATATTTTATATATATATATATATTTCATTAAAAAACGACTGACAAGGTACTGTGGTTAAGTTTTTTACATCATTTTTCATGTGTTCTTACCATTTTTTTTTCTTTTCTGGATTTAATTATATAAAAATTGTCCAAATGTTTTATAATTCCATGATATATTAAAACATTTGGACAATTTTTATATAATTTACATCCAGAAAAGAAAAAATTATATAAAAAATTTAACCACAATCGTTTTTGATGAAATATGCATAAAAGAGGGATTGCTGCCCAACTTAGCTGGTTGATGTTAGATTTAGCACCTTGGCTCCAGAGTTATATATATATATATATATATATATATATATATATATATATATATAATGACACACACACACACACACACACACACACAGCTTGTTCCGCTGTATCACAGCTCATCAGTGTAGCTAGACATCCAACTGCTTCAAGCCAGATTGAAATTCGGCCAATCTGGAATCAGTGAGAGACTCTACCCCTAAACTATCGGTGCACAGCAAAGAAAGGGAACCTTTTAACCTATTATATAACGTGATGTATATAAATGCTAGACAAGCAGCCAGTGCATTCAATTCTGAAGAAAATTTATATATTAAGAATAAACTAAACAATGTACTTATTTTATATTGAACTCTTTTGCACTTGCAAATATTAGAAAGATTAGATTGAAATATATTTATGTCTGATTACATAAGGAACAAGTAGGAAAAACCTTTATAAATTTGACATTTCATTTTGTTTTATCTTCATCAGAACATTTTGGGAGGATGAGAGGAAACACAGAAATGTCTTCATGTTTTGCACTGTTTGTTTCCATTGGTAGATGCCACAGATGTATTTTTTGTAGTGTTAATATGTATTCAGACACACAGGCATATATGCATAGCAACACAACAAAAAATTAACATTAAGATTATTTAAAATATCAAGCTCAATCCAAAAGTAAAAGACAATTTCCATACAACATTGTTATTTCCATTAATGAAGAACAAATGCATGTGTCAGTCTTTGACAGAGTCTGCCAGCATGATGATGCACTTCTGGCATTGTTCATCAAGCTTCTTCATCCTTTCTGAAAAGAAACATTACTGTTGCTTAGGAAGCCATGTCTGCACCACTTGCTTGTTTGGGCACCTACCGTGCACAAACTTTATGGTACTGCAATTAAACACTATGTGGTTTTATACAAATCCATAGATGATGCTCATGACTGCTGCAACTTCAGCTAACATGATCTGTCAGTCTTTTCTGATCAAGGCATTCACTCTCTGGATGCATTCTTCGGTGCACAAAATTGATGTGCAACCAGGTTGGCTTTTGTGCATTACACTTGTTCTTTCCACTTTAAAACATTCTACCCATTCACACACACCTTTCGTTGATTCATGCTGTGCATGCTCCATACTGCCCCAAATTTCCAGCAATGAATTCCCACAGGTAGACTCCCTCTACCCACAGAAAGTGCACTACAGTGTTGTTCCTTGATGGTACAATCACCAAGTGCAGCATCCATATGTCTTGTTAATTTCTGTCACTCAATTCAATGATTGCATGCTGCATGCTACCTGTCATCCCATGTGCACACGTGGTGTCACATGTCAGCACCTTTTTGTTGTCTTTATTCTCTGATTTATCTTCATATATTAAAGCATATTTGGGCAGCAGTCTTTCATTCATACAGGTTTGATTAAAAATTAAAGTTCTTTGTTTATGATTTCTTTATTAATTTTTTGGTTGTAACAATTTTTCCAAGTTTCATAAAATGTTCAATATTTTGTTTTTGACATTTAAGCCATTATGAAAGAATTAGTGCTTTAATAAGAAAGTATCAAGACATTGTGTTTCTGGACAATTTTCAAAATGTTTATAATATATGACATTTTTGTATTGTCTGTAAGTATTTGTCAAATTTTTTGTTTTGGTTGGCAATATGAGATTTAATGGAACTTTTATCAGATAGATAGCAAGTTAATCAACATGATAATGTAGGGATTGGCTAATCAATGTATGTATTGTTTGACTTTTTATTGTTGCTAGAGAAACATTTTTGTCAAGCAAATTTTGTTGTATTCTTAGTGATGATGATATTTGATGTTTTTAATGCTTATAATAATAAGCAACCATTTTAATTGTATTAGTTGATCTTATTTGCAATCTAATTGGTCATTCTTGTTCAGTTGGATTATATAGAATAATTTAAAGGCATATGGGATAACAATATTTAATTTTTAGATATCAAGAACAGTTTTGGGGAAAAATGTATGGCAAAGTGGAGGACGGGGGAGTTTTTGTGCGATGCATTTCATCCTTTTGGATTTCATCGGATTAAAGTGATGTTTATGTTGATGCAATTACACTTGTGCATGAATGAGAAATGCTGGGAATTTTTATTTAAAGATGACTTCTTTTTTTTTTGAGTTTTGGATTATATATTCTAGCGGATTCTTTTTGTTTCCATTACTTTCGTTATTAAATATCCCCAACATTATGATAATAGACGTATCAAGAATAGTGAAACACTGTAAGAGCCTAGATGCAAACTTAGCAGTAAATGATATAGGCTAGATTATATGCCCAAACACACATAATATATATATATATATATATATATATATATATATATATATATAAAAACCTACATAAGTTACCTCCCTTGCACAGAAGCAAAAAAAAAAAAAAAAAAATTCAATCGGTGGCTGTAGAAAACTGATTAAAATAAATTCCAAATTTTCTTTCAAGGTTAGGATTGAAACTAAAAAAATAGACATAATATGTCTAAATTATTTAACCATACATTCTTGACTGAAAATATACCTCCTAAATATATGACATCTTTAAATTAAAATTCCCAGCATCACTTATTTGTCTGCATGAGTAGTTACATCATCATAAACATAGGCTAAGTCCAAAAAGGTCCTAAAGGATCAAACATGTCAAACAAAAAACTTTTCTACTTTGTCATATATATATGAGGCACGGTGGAGTAATGGATAGCGGCTTGGATTGAGGAATCGCAGAGCCGAGTTCGAATTCCAGTCGAATCCATTACATTCACTTACGTGCTAATACCCTTGGGAAAGGTATGAATCCTCTTCATCTCCCTCCAGCTATGGGTAAAATAGCAGGACAGACTGGGTTCTATAGCCTTGGATGGCAACTGGTCTAGGAGAAGGACAACTCTGAATTCAAAACCTGCAGAGGGTCGTTTGGGAACCTTGGCATTTGATTGCACCAGGTTTCTGTATTCGTCCCTCCAAAAAGTGTGGCTGGTCCTGCACGAGGCCTTCACCACTATAATCAAATCTCATGTGCCGATGTCGGGATGTCGGTTTCCTGAAACTTATCGCCCTGACCCTCATACGTCCGAACTCGACGGGAGAGTCGATTATATATATATATATATATATATATATATATATATATATATATATATATATATATATAGCAAAGGTAATAAATCTATTGGTATATAACCCAAGTGGATCCTAGTAATATAAAATATTAAAACTGATCCACAAAAAAAAGCTCAATGTATTTATTATCACAGAGCAAATAATTAGTACACAATAAAATCTAAAATCACCTCATATGAGGAGATTTGGGATTTTATTGTGTAGTATATATATATATATATATATATATATATATGAGATGCTGAAAAATTCTTGGCTGGGCTAAAACTTTGCAGCCTTACTTATCCTATTTGATCATTTCTTCTTATGGGATTTGTAGGAACATGGTTAGATTTGGTGTCTTAATTATTAACAATCATTCAGCAATCAAAAAGAAAACGTTGTTCACTTACCAGAAGTTTCGCTGATTGGATTTGTGGTCCTTTGATTTGTACAGAAAATTGTTCAAAGAATAAATAAGAATTTCCAGATGGACGGAATACAAGGCATTTGCTATATTTCTTATTGATGCTTCGTTTGAGAGTCATCATCCATTGCTGAAAAGAAAATTCAATAATCCTTGGTCACAAGCTGAGAGAGGAATTAGCAATGACAGCTACAAATACAGTTTCACACCAAAATCGCAAAAGTGTCAGATTCAAAGAGGAGGAGACTGAGTTATTTAACCAAAATGTTTGTCTTTTACAAATAAAATCTACATATATGGATTTTTTGATCAAAACTGAAATCTTTATAGATTTTGTCGGAATCTTTCAGATGACGAATTATCATTTATTATTCAAACCAAAATTCTTATCTTCGTCGTTGTTTTGGCACTGGGTTTTTTTTCTTTTTTGTTTTAACAAAATTCACCCAATAAGAGACTTGTGAGTCATTCAAGGTCAAGAGTTAGCAAATGAGGTTTAATGTTTGATTGCAGGGGGAGGAGGGAATATAAAGTGAAGATTATGAGGATAAATAATGATTAACCCTTAACTTGAAAGAGGTTAGGAAGATCGTGTCATTTCAGGAAGCATCCACATGGTAGTATGTTCTCCAAAATAACAGTTCTTGTGGGGGGGGGGCAGAGTAAAACTTCCTCTTTGCAAAAGGAATATGGAAGAAATGAGGGTGATTCAACTCAGTGGATATAACATGTCAAACCCTAACAGTAAAGGTCTGAACTGGTGGCACTAAAATGATAGTCCACAAAAGTCAAATACTCTGGTACAGTGGAAGAAACAGACAAGTGACACAAAGGTGACTAAGACTGATACATATTAACTGATATGAGTTAATCCCTTACCAAGCAAGGAAAGCAAAATGCAAAATTCCTAGATTAGAGAATGATGACATACCTGAAGAAGGTGAATGAGTTCAACAGTTGAAAGGTTGTGACAATGACAATCAAGTTGAGCAGGTTTGTTTGAATGTCAAAGCATATAACAATTGCACATATTGTATGTACTCGGGTATAGTGCAAGTTTTTATGATTAGTTTTTTATGCAAAAAATAGGCCATTGCCTAAAAAAAAAAAAATCAATTTTTTTGAAGCAGTTAAAAATCATGCATTTTTGCTGATCAGTTGCACTTATACAAAGGCATATTTTTTCATTCATGCCAAAAATTCAGGGCTTACACGATACATGAAGTTCATTTATACACAAGTATATACGGTATATATTTTGCTGATAAGTAAAATTTCTTCATGATGCTGTGAAATCATTCACATTAAAAAAAAACAAAAATATTTAAGAAAAAAATTTTAAAAACATAACAAAGATTATTAATTTTATTGATAAATTTATTAAAGTCTATGAAAAAGCACTTTTTTTTTTATTTTTATTTTTACAGATCTTATAGAGTGATAGTGAAAAATCCTAAAGAGCCATATCAAATAACAAAAAACACATCAATTAAACAATTTCAACAGCAGGAACAACAAAACTGAGCAGCACAAGAGAAAATAATGATATAGTCAAGATTCTAATTTTCCACATGACCTCAAACAAAAGGTTTGGGAGGAAACTCCCATCAGTACCAGAAACATCTAACATTGGACTTGAGAAGTCTATTGACCTGAAAAACTGTTTTAGGAAAAAGACTTTATAAAATTCGGCTGGCAATAACACAAACTGTTCAGTCATTTTCGTGCTGAATGTTTCCAACACAAAAATAGATATTATTTACTAGTCTAGAAACCGTCCTTTGGCCGGATATTAGGTTAGCTAGTGTAGAGGGCTTTCAGGCCTTTGGTCTTTTACCTTTAGCATGTTATGTATGTAAAAGTTATGAGAATTTAGAAATAATAAAATTATTTTATCTTTATTTGACATCTTAATTTGGCATAATCTTTCTTCGAATACACAACAAATCTCCATAGTTTGTTTACATTTATTTTGCGTGCAGTTTTTATTTTCTTTTAAAATCTCCATTCTTTATGATTCCTTCACATAAAGTCACTCTTAAAAGACATTAGGAAACCAAAACTATGTAATATTTTGAATATGTCATAGTATGTGTGCTAGAAAAAGAAAGAAAACAAAACATGAGCAATGTACTGTGCCCCATTTAAGTTTTAATTACTGTTTAATTAGACAGTATTAATTGTAATTGCGATGAAAAGCGAAATTAATATTAAACCTTTAATAAAGATTTGTTTTTTTTAATTCTTTCACTCTTTGATATTTAAATTTAATTTTAAATGAGTTATTTATTTAATTTTTTAATCATGTTTAACTACAGTAGTTACTACCTGTTATTTCAGGTTGCTTATGAATAGCCGAGATTGAAAAACAGATGGATGGACACATGTACACTGTGCTTTATTTATATAGAAGATTGAAGAAGGTGCAATGTCTTGTTATCAAATAGAATACAGCTGAAGATTTTGTTTCCAATGCCGTAATATTGGAATACAGGGGTATAAAGAGACTGGCAATTTTGAAGCATTACTTTATAAATTGGGCCTGAAAGCCATCAAACCCAACACCAGCATGCAAAACTTTTCAGAAGGGCTAAGAAAATCAAAAATGATTGTATGTAGAGCACTATTATAAAACTAAATAAAACTTCTAAGTCCACTCCATTAATGACTTATAAACAATATTTTTGTGTGATATTGTCAACCTAACCATGAGAATCATTCAACCATTGATATTATTATTATTATTATTCATGAAGTGCCTTGAATTATTAATTCACTGCCAAAGTAAGAAGTTCCAGAGCAAATTTCTCAAGAAATATCAGTTATTCCCAACTGGTTAATAATGACAAGGGGTCAGTTATGCTGTGTCCCGTATTACAGGTAAGAACAAACAACTGTAGCAGTATATAAAGGTCATACGAAAAATGTAGTACTTTATGGTAAGAGATGTACCAAGGGACATACCTCTTTTGTTCCTCCTTGGCAAGCATACGTAAAAACACAATGGAAGCCATCCTGAAAAAAGAAAAAAAAAGTAGAATTAAAAAAAGAAATTGAAAATGTTTAGCAGCATGGTTTCTGATATAAAGCCATTTTAACAAATAACATCATTTCAAAAAATGAAATGTAAGAAAAAAGGGGGAAGAAACTGTAGGAACTGCAGAATTATAAAATATAGGAAAAAAATCAAAGTGCTCAAGATAAAAACAGAGCAATCTAAGATCTTTGACTTAATCTATGGTTTAGCAAGAATCCATTAATATAACACACACACACACATATATATATATATATATATACACACATACACACCCACAAGTTTCATTAAAAACAACTGAAAGTGTATAGCAGTTAAGTTTTCTATTTTTCTTGTGTTCTTCTTTTCTGGATATAAATTCTATAGAAATTATTCAAATGTTTTGTATGTCCAAAAGTGCTTTTGGCTATACTTTAAGCCATTATCAAGGATGACTTTACTTTTAAATGAATGCATGGATTGTTTGATGTGTGTATCTAGAATTATAGGAATGCTTTATTTTCCAAACATGGTCAGCACATTATGGCCATGTTCAGAGTTGATGTGATTAAATGTTGTCTTTTTTATTAATAATGCTTCCATTATTTTTATTTTTTTTTTACATCTGGATGTGGTTGAGGCTATTATAGTTGTAATATATTGTATTATTATTAACGAGAATGTTCTGGACAGAGTTTGGTAAATCGCCATATGTATTTAAATGAGACCTAATTGAGCTCTGGTCATATTTAACCAAACTTGTATAAAGGAGGGATCATTGCCCCAATACAGAATATGTGTGTGTGTGTGTGTCTGTATATTTAGGTAGCATATCTTCATTGGATCATGTTTCATTGAATTGAATAATATAGGTATATTGTGTCTACTTATTTTTATACTGAACCTTTCTAGTTCTCTAATCAGTTGTCTTGATGTTAAGATGAAATTCATCAAGGAAGGTGCTGTAGTTTTTTTTTTTAACCTAAGTAGTTTTGTCCTTTTCTAAGATCATTTTCAGGGGTAAATTATAATGACAAACATGCTATTGTAACTACTATATATATATATATATATATATATATATATATATATATATATATATATATGTATGTGTATATAAAAAGTGAACATAGAAGTCAACACTTAGAAGTGACAGTCTGTTTCATGCTAGATGCAATCGTCAAGCCTGACAATTGCATTTAGCATGAAACAGACTGTCGCCTAAAATGTTGACTTCTATCTTCACTTTTATATTTACACACACTATCTCTGATATTGAGCACTTTATGCCATAAATATAGCACATCTTAAGGCTATATTTTTATTTATATATATATGTGTGTGTGTGTGTGTGTGTGTATGTATATTTTGGCAGCAAACCTTCTTTTAGACATATTTCATTAAATATGACATATCTTGTGAGGTATTTATTTTTTTTTTTCTTGCATCCTTACAAGTTTTCTCTTCTGAGTACTGTGCATGCAGAGAAATTGTGGAGTTACCACAAAAATTATATCCTCTCTTTGAAAATAGCTAACCTTTGTGTCCTGACCCCACTAAGAAGCAACCAGCATTGGCTTCCTTGATCCTAACTGTGACTGTTAATATACTCAGTAACCAGAAATAATCATCAATGTTCAGCTTTGTTGTCACTTGACTCCAAATCATTTCTTTTAGTTATTTATTCTTTTCTTTACTTTTTGGTTAAAAAGACTCAACTTCAAACAGTCCATCTGCTGATTATAAAACAGAAACACTCAAGATCAAGATAAAAATCACACATTCCTCATTTACATGGGTGTGTCTCAATCACAGTGTTGCATATGGCTGCATGTCCTGCCCCCCCGCACAAAGTCATCATGACTGAGGGTTTGAGTGTGCTGGCATTGTTCAGACTGTTAATCACGCTAGATAATACGCTGTCTCCCAGAAACTGTAACTAAGGTCTGCTCAGTATAGTTGCAGTATAAACCACAAGTAGACTGTGAGTGTTGAACAAACACAAATGTGCCTGACCAGGCGTCTGCAACAGGGATTGGCTAGTTGCCCTAGTAGACATGCATACACGGATACAAGTGGCTACCATCCCACCACAACCACCACCATGCTAGTTTATGTAATGTTATATAACACACACACAATGAAAGACTTATAAATATAATCAATTCTTTGAAGTAAGTTAAAACATTTGCTTCCTATCAATTAAAGCCATTTTGTGTTTAGAAAAGAAGAGGATAAACTCAGGGACAGAAGAACGCAAAGAGAAAGAGAGAGCCTTTTTTTTTTTTTTTTTTTTTAAAAAAAAAAAAAGCAGCAGAGTATTCCTTTTCCAGGGTTGGTTGCCAACCAAGACTAAAAAAGCCTTGTCTACCTTGTGAATGTACCCATAGCAGGCAGGAAGAATAAAGAGACATGCCTTTCCCAAAGTAAATACAACGCCGACTCTTTTCCCTTTACCAGTCACGGATAAAATAAAGCAGGCTGGGATTTCTAGCCTTGGTTGGCAACTAGTCTAAGAGAAGGAAAAGGCTGAATAAAAAAAAAAAAAAAGACATCATGGAAAAGCAACAAGAAACTCCTCACTATCTTTTCCAAGAGCAATCATTGATGTCAATAGATATTAAAGAAAAGAAAGCTGTGAAGAACCATGATTGCTTACATCCTTAAGGATCATGACACAAAGGAAAAATAAAAGTCATTGTCTCAAGAAAAAATATAAACTCAGATTGAAGAACTTGGACAATGAACACACACAAGAGACAGAGAGAGAGAGAGAAAAAGAGAGAGAGATCTTTATGGCATAATCAAAAATATTGGGAAAAAATTTTTTATCACTTATTATTTAACTAACTTAGAAGTTGCTCTTTGAGTGTACTTTAGGTTAGCTCCTGTAGAGAGGTTTTGAATCTTCAGCCATTCACCTTCAGTGTGCTATTTAGGTAAAAGTTATAAGAATTTAGAAATAATAACTTTAACTAGACTGACATTTGTAACAGGTTTTGATAAAGAGAGAGACATCGATTTTCGTCTGAGAAGAGATTAAAATAACCAACGTTGACATTTAAGCTCAAGTCAGACAAAGAAGTCCAAAGTGATTTCTCTCTCATTACTTAAAACTTTGAGTGTTTGGTTAAAACAAATGTCCATTGTGATTACCTTGATGGCAAACGAAATGTGTGTGTGTGTGTGTGTGTGTAGGAAGGGTGCTGGGGTGGGGGTACCATGTCTATTTTATTGTGACGTATGGAAATCAAGTGACAACCACCAGAAAAAAGTTTAGTTCATGTTATTCAAATAAAACAAGCAAAGTATACATAACTGACATGGATGTACTACTTAATTACTATCAACTAATTTACTTGCACATGGTAATATTTTAATATGGCTTTAAAAACAAACATTAAAGTGTATATCCTTATATATAGATCCTCGAAGCAATCTACATTAAAAAATTGAGGCCGATACTGAAGTGGAACAGAAAATTTGTGGATTTAACATATCTTCTTCTATGTGCTGCATCCCTTCTTTATGTTGGCAATCATGGCTCTCCACAATTTCTGATCCTTTTTAAAACTTAATAAATTTTGTTTTTTTTCTTATCTCCCCTAAGTCTTGTTCATCCATACAAAATTGCTGAGCATTCATTGTCATATTGGAGAACTTATGTAACAATTCAGTTCACTTTTCTCTTTTTTTCCAGTTTTCTTTTTATATTTAAGCTTATTTTTAGCTTTAGCTTTTATTCTTACTATTTGTGCATGTGTGTGTATATATATATATATATACACCTTGCATTTGGAAACTAGAATTAATCAGCACGTACCTTCCAAAATACGACTTGGTAAGATAGATAGAATATGCTATCTTCCCCCCATGAATATGGAATCGGATATTGCTCAACATTTAGTTTAGAATATAGCTTGTGCCAAGTTGTATAAAAAAAAGAGTGGTTTAAAATTATTCATACAGCCGATTCCAATAATCATTTGAAGATTTTGGAATCGGTCTGTATAGGATTAAGAAAACCTTCTCTCTGCCGGCAGAACGAATTTATAAGGTCTCTGAATCTGTTGGGGGATATTTTATTTTAACTGTCCCTCGCTAATTTATTTACACGATCCCTTCCCTCGTTATTTTAGTGTGTTTCCCCTCTTTTTTGCTCTTCAATATCGTTAATATTCTTTTCGCTAATCCAACGATTGTCTCCTGATGAGATGTTGGCTGAAAGGGCCCTAAAGACTTTTAAAATTAAAATCAATGGTTTCCTTGTTTTTAAAACTATTTATAAATTTTGTACCTCCAAACATTTGTTTATATATACATGGGGGGAGTAGTATAATGGTTACTTATCAGTATAGAAATTGGAATTTGCAAGTCAAGTTCAAATTGCAGTTGATTAAGTTTTATTCACTTCACCCTAAGGCCCTTCTTCCAGCTACAAGTCAAACAGCAAGGCAGACTCTCTTGCCTTAGGTGGTAAACAGTGTAGGAGAAGGAAAATTCTGAATTAAACCTTGATTTCTCTGGTATCAGTTCTAAAAAAAAAAAAAAAAAAAAAGTGTGGTTAGTGCCATACAAGCTTTCACCACAATAATCAAATCACTTGTGTAATAATTCGTGTGTGTGTGTGTGTGTGTGTAAATGATTTACAAAGTGATTAATTCTGTGTAAAATGTTTCATCCTTATTAGAAGGACTTCATCAGATTAATGTTTTTGTTGATGGAATTATATATTATAATTTCAGTATTTTCCCCTTGTGTTCTTATCCCCCTCTGACACATAAATAAAATTTTCTGATATGAAAATAAAACAGCACAACTTTCTTTTATTGTGAGGATGTGCCATGTAAATTCAAATCTTAAATAACTACCCTTATACTTCCACTATTTGGGGGAATATGATAACTTTAAGGAAAGTTGCATATTTACCACTCAAATAATAATAGAAATGTAACCTAAAAATTGTAATGTGGGTTATTCTCGATCCAGAAATTCTCCGAATTTAATGATTATTGCTGTAGGCATTATGACGTATCCACGACGACTACCTTGCTTCTTAGTGCAATAATGGGGAGGTGTTGAATGAGAGACGAGCCCATGGGCAGCAGGCATCAAGAAGCCAGAAATATAAGTTTTCAATTTTCATGGACATCGTAAAATAAATAACTTTTTTATTTTTTTTAATAAGTTATAAAACTTATAATTCTTAAATTGCTAAAAAAAAAAACTAATACACAAATTTGTATTTTCATAAACTAAACAAAAAAACATAGTCAATAGAAGACGAAACAAATAGCTTTACTTTTAGTTTTAAAACATGGTTTGTATATCCATATCCTGGACCCAAAACATGTTTGAATTTTTTTTGTTTTTAAATTTTAGATTTTTGTCTTGAAGACGAGATTTTTGGGTGGATCTAGCAAGCAAAATTTCTTTTTTTTTTTTTTTTAACAGAAGTTTAAAAATAATTTTAATTATTTTTAAATGAGATTAAAAAAATAATTACATATGTTATTATTGTCCATAGTGTAATTAATTTCAGTTTTTTTTTTTTTTTTTTTTTTTAAAGTGGCTGCTATTACAAAATTATCTGATTTCATTCAAGCCACTGTTGAATAACTGGAAGCCCTGCCTTAAATTTGCCATTTTATTGCGAAAAACTGATATTTAGTGAATTTATTATAAAAAGAAAAACTAACGTCATGACACGGATTTTTCATCAAAGGAAAACAACGGCCATAAAAAAAAGATTAAAGAGGCTTTTGGTCACGTAGCATTTAGGAGCTTTATTGTAAAACGTACCGAAGATAAGCATAGGATAATGATTTAAGTGATAAGGAGGAGGTTTATAAATTTTTGCTTGATTAATAAAAAATTTTATGAATAATTACACGTTTTATGATGTTGAGAGAATTGAAGCGTAGACAAAACTTAAAGAAATAGTTATAGAATTATAAATAATGCAATTTGAATAAAATTAATGAATTAATTAAAGAAATTACAACACGCACCCAATCTCTTGTGTATACATTAATTTTTCCACCAGGTTTGACATCAAAGTGGGCACTTTCCTCTTCCAAAGTATCGCCTACATTATCACAAAGGCCGACCCGGAACATAAAACAGACTAAAAACAGTACAAAAACTGACCATTTCTGTATAAAATGGGTAGCAGTTAATGTTTTCAAAGAGACAGTGGTCATCGTGAGTCCTTTTTTTGTTTTGTTGCCTTTAAAAAAGTTGTTTTTAACTAACAACCCCGGTTCGAAAAAAAAAAAAGCAAGTTTTTTATGATGAAGGGAAAATTATGATCGTATTTCGTGTCGTTTTTTTGTTGTTCTTTTTATCTGCTTATTACTCTACCGTTTTAACTTCTTTAATTATAATAACCATAGGCACCAATCTCCGGGCAAAAGACCAATCGGCTAATGTAAATCTCCCAGTTTTAATAATAGTTAAGAAGAAGAAGAACGTGCTGCTGTCATTAGCGACTTGCCAACACAACCTATCGGCGTCATCCACGTGCGCTTAGCTTCGAAAATTCAGAACGAGGCTCAGAATGGCGCCACCGGGAAAATAAGGAACTTCATTTTTTTGCGCCAACCTCCAATTATAAAGTAAGTCGTGTCGAACAAGGCGGCAGACACTTAAAAACAAAAAGAAGCTTGCTCAAGATATTAATAAAATGGCAGGAAATCATTTGCAAAACTGTCGCAAGCGGAAATAGCGATGAACGATGATGGTGATTTCCTAAGCGTAACTTAGACGTGGCACACGGCCGAAAGTATGGGGCGCCAAGTGAGTATCGAACTCACTATTCAGTCGTAATTGATCTTAGCGAGACAAGCTTGTTAACCATTACACCACGTCGAATAAATGATTATGAATCATTTAATTAAAAAACAAACCTAAATTGATGAATTTCTGAATGTTTGAATTTTGCAATAACTAATTTCCTATCTTGACAATCTATCTTCATAATGTGCAGGTAGCATAATGGTTATCATCATGAATAGTGGCATTGGGGAGCCAAGTTCAAATCCTGGCCTGGACTGTTGCATTCACTTTCACACTAATGCTCTTGATAAAGGCATGAATCCATCTTTTCTCCCAACATCTATGGGTTAAAAACAGCAGAAAATGGTGACATGCCTGAAAGCCAAAACGTTTTCATGTTGCATACCACTTTTTCAGAAGAAATAAAATAGAAAAATGCTTCCCCAATAATTGAGGTCATCAAGGTCATGTAAATCAGCTTCAGCTAAACAATTGTGGTTGCAGTTTCACTGAGTGGAATGGATTGCATATATGCTAAGCAATTTCCATGCTCCACAAATTGAAAACCTGGAATGGGTCCACCAAACTGCTAAAATGCAACTAACTTTTCCTGTGTGTGTGTGTACATAGAGATTTAGACTTTGTGAACTTTTTTATACAGTAGACTGGGCTTTTTTTAATCTTGAGTGACAGTCTAGGAGAAAATAAAACTCTGAATTCAAAACTGCAGAGAAGGCAATGAAAAATTACTATTTTTCGCAACAAGTCATCGCAGTTTCATTGATATTAAAGAAAAGGAACCTGTTATGGAGAGCCATGACCATATCTATGTCCTGAAAGGAAATGTCATTTGAAAAAAAAAAATCCTTACCTTTATTGTTTTGATAATTGCATTCCTCAGCTTATCCTGTGCCATTAGTACATCAAGCATTTCATTTCAACATGAAATTTTTGATAAAATTCTGAGATAAAAATAACTTCAGATGCAAATAGATTATGATACTTTATTTTTTCACATTAAAATAACAGAAGATTCTATTTCTATTATGTCATCAGAAGAATCCAAGAATCCAGAGATGGCAAATCTCTAATGTACTGGATTCTTCTAGTGACAGAGAAAAATATCACACACACACAATATATATATATATATATATATATATATATATATATATATATATATATATATATATATATTAGGCAACAAGAATTGATCCAAACAGAAACCATTTTTTTTAAAATTTAACTGACAATGTCAGCTGTTTAATTTATTGTATTTTTCAATTTTAAAAAATCTACACCAGGATCAAAATTGTGAATAAATGATAACCTGAATCAGATAAATGACCGGTATCAAAATTATGACTAAAATGGCCACAGTTCATGTTTTTTGTTCCTTTTCTGTTCAGGTATTTTCCATCATCTCAGTCATTATGAAGAACTGGGTTTTAACAATATGGTAGATAAAAGTCTGTTGGAATTTTTTTTTTTTTTTTTTTAATACTGAGATTCAAATTGGTTCAATGTGACATCATATATCACAGTAAAATTAGTTAGACTGTACAATAAAAACAAACAACCCAAATAAAACTATCAAGATATATCTTGATATATCTTCATATATATTAGAAAAGAATGCTATGAATTTGGATACTACTTTCTAAAATAGCACCAACTCTTGGAAATCATATTTCTTACTAACCAACAGTTGCATGAATATCTGTTTTTATTAATAACAACTTATGCAACCAATTTATTGCAATTATTACTGATTATATCTGCTAATGAATTTGGATGGAGGGGATGTTTACTTTGTTAACCCAATATTTACAGAAGTTTTTGATTAATTTCTGTGAAATTTTGTGGAAGAGTTGGACATGGAGCAAGGAAAAATTTGGGGGCAAACTACAATAATTTTTCAATTGACACATGTTTTCTTTATCAAGAAAACAGTTCAATAGGAAAAAAAAACTACATAGTTATCTCCCTTGCATCACGTCTATAAACTGAGAATAATTTACACGTTTTTGGAATCTTAAAAAATAAATTTAATAAAGAAAAGCGAAAATTATTTATGACTCAACCTAGTTTTTTGTAATGATGGTATTGACTAATTTTTCTTTCATCTTAAAGCATTTCAAACAAGACTGACAACTACTTGGTAAAAAAAGTTAAAGCAAGAGAAATAAGAGAGTCAATCTGTCCTTCCTCCCTTGGTTATTTTGAATTTAAATAATGATAATTTCCCATCCCAGAAATCCAAACAGAAATGTTTAATGACATACTTTATTTTTCGATTTTAGATATCACCTTTTTATTATTTTACCAACATTCTTTTTTCTTTTTAATAACAACTGATGGGAAATATGACGGATTAAATAAAGAAACGTTAAAGTCAACATTTTCTTTTGTTTTTAGCAAACGCTTGTATGCCTTCTTGGACAACTTTTTTAGTAACACCATCATTTACCAAAATACACGTGACACCTAAAATAAAAAGAAAAAAGAAAAATTAATTAAAACAATGCGCAAAATTTTCCAGTGTTTTTTTTATAAAATCATTTCCTACAACGCATTTAATTTCCTAGTTTGCAAAAAAAAGACAGTGCTGGGAATTTTTATATACACCTACGAGATTATATTGAAGTCATTGTCCACTGTTCCATGTATCCTTGATAACTGACATCCATTAGACATGGCACGTGGAACTAGAACAATCTACCCCAACAAGCGAAATAAAGGGTTCAGTTCGACATTCCAACCATCTGAAGAAGGCTGGAGTGTACAACGGCTGAAACGTTGTAATAAATATGGCGACAAAGATGAGGACAATAGTCCGAATAATGTAAATAGTGTACATAATACGTCATGTCAGAAATATAGACAGATAAAAATATTAATTTTAAAATGCATTTTAAAAAATGAAAAATATTTCTTGAAGTTTTAATTTTAGTTTTAATTCGGAACTAATTGGTTAAATAAATTAAATATTGCAAAAAGCAAAATCATTTGCTGCATTTCAAACCAAATTTACATTGATTGGAAATATTTTTTTCTATTTATAATAAATAGAAAAAAATGTTTCCAATCAATATGGATGAATTTAAAGATTTTACTAATAAACTAGCAGTAGAGCCCGGCATGGCCCAGGATGTAACAATAAGAGATAGATCAAATATCGACCATCATAAAAACTGAAAAATAAAATTGACAAAGATTATTATTTAAGGTTGATGGACATACATGTCTTACTTTTATTTTTTTCTTTTTTTTTTTTTACGAATTGGTCAAACCCAAACTCAAACAAAAACATTGTTTTCAATCGTTATGAGTCTACCGATTGAATAGAATTTTATTATAAACAATTGTCTTGTAAATGGAATTTTTAAAGCATTCTGAATGTAAAAATAAAGAAAAAAGTGTGCAAGACAATAAGAAACACTACCTGCCAAAAAAAAGTGAAGTTTTGTTGAAATCGGTTGAAAAATGTAGGAAATCCGATCCCATATATAAATGAACACACACACACACAACCAACCAACCTGAGTTTTATAATAAGTATAACTCAATAACTCGATATTAATAAGTATAACTCGATATGAGTTGTCCCCCTTTCATTAATGCCTCTTAATCGTGTTTTCAAATTGATATCATCCAAAAAACAATTGTGTTTTTCCAATTTTTGGCGCTGTCAGAACCACTGCAAGGTAATTTTACGTAGTCCTGTGAAGTTTTGTTGAAATCAGTTGAAAAATGTAGGAAATCTGATCCAATATATAAACGTACAGACACACACACACACACACACAATCTGCGTTTTATAATAAGTAAGATAATTTATTAGTAAAAAAAAAAAATCTTTAAATTCATCCATATTGACAGACCTGTCAACACAACATAATTCTTTTAAAAATAAAATATACTTTTCTGAAACATTATTTTATGAAAATCAGCTGAGTTTCATTAATTTGAATTGGAACAAATTTGAGGGGATGCTCTTTTGACATATTGAGTGATTTATTGACAGTTTGAAATTGGGAAATTTAAGTAAGGGGGACAGAAATGAAAAACAAATACTTGTTGGATACAACGTGAAGCTTTTTTTCTATATCGATTTTTTGTTTTTTTTTTAACTTTTTTTATCTTGAAAATTTGAGAAAATATATTAAGCAATTTAATATTTTATTACATTTGAGGTATCTTGGCTTTACTTATGAAAACACATGTTGAGAAAAATGTTAGAAAATTGGCAATAAATTTACCTTTCTTATTTTCTGAGTGCCAAGGATGGATTCCTTTATTTACAAAAATCAACACATTTATGTACATACACCACAAACTCAAAAAATAGGCACAAATTTCACTTACAAATTTAGGATCAGGCTTGTAACCCAAAACAATCAAGATTTCCATCATGTATCCTTCCTTTTTAGTAAATCTTTGGAGGTATTTAATATATATATATATATATATGTGTGTGTGTTTTTCTAATGTATATATTCGGAAGTACTGAACACAAGGTGAGATGAATAAATTGTTGTCTAAATTATGCAAAAATGAAAATAACACTGATATTTCATTTTAACAGATATATTTACCAAAATTACACAAAAATATCTTTAAATACTAAAGAGTAAATTTATTCAGTAAAATCACCATTGGCTTCAACCACGGCCTCCAGACGACTTCGGAATCTCCTGCAATTCTTCTGGATGGTCTACTTGTTTAAGTTGGTGAATGCTGTCATAATCTTTGCCTTCAGTTCAACTTTGTTACAAGGAGTCTTGTTGGTGTCTCATTTAACTGAGCCCCACATATATTAATCAAGGGGGTTGCAGTCTGGGGAGTTAGGTTGCTAGATGTAAGGGGTGATGTGATTGCAGAAATTGTCTGACAGACCTGACTGAGTTCTCCCACTTGTGTGGCATAGTGCAGAGTCCTGTTGCCAGATATAGAGTCTTCCAGCAGCCACCCTCTTGATACGGGGCAGCACTACGAGCTGAAGGCACTTGATGTAGGTCTCTGTCTTGAGTCTGAGGTCATCAGCAACAAATCTGGAAGTTTTGTTTTTCTTACCAGAACAATGAGAGTGAGTTTTCCAAGATGGTGTACCTTCATAATCACCATTAGACTCATCCAACTCTTTCTGAATCCTCTTCATGGTCCTCAGATTGACACACAAACACACTGAAATGTTTATAGTAGATCTTCTGGTGTGAATACCAAGCAGTACAGCATACCGTTTCCAAATTTCTGGCAGAGCGAATTGCTTCATGCTGCTCTTTTTCTCAAAGACAGTGCCCAACTGACCCTTCTATGCTGTGCAGTCAACAAAATCAAAAACAAACAATGTGCATATGTGAAAGTAAAAAATAAAATATGGCGACAATTTACCCATCGCACTGTGTGTGTGTGTGTGTGTGTGTGTGTGTGTGTGTGTGTGTATATATATATATATATATAAAAAAACACCCTCACTGTTAATTTTGTTAAGTGTACTCTTCTCGTACTGGGTGGGGTTCCTTTTACCATTAGAACCACATCAGTTCTTCATGACATGGATTTTTAAATATTATAGAAGCTTTCTTCTGAAATTTGGGACCATGCTGTTATTACAGCATCCTGCAATTCTACATTTGTTAGCTGCACATCCAAAATTTGAAACTCTTTTTCTACCACTTCCCAAAGGTGCTTAATGGGATTGTGATCCGGTGACTGTGGACATTTATTTTAATGCAGAAAACTCATTGTTGGGTTCTGTGAACCACTCTACAACTTATTTTGATTTGTGACATGGTGTGATGTCCTGTTGGAAAAGGTCACCAGAGGAGGGCTTCACTGTAATCATAAATTGATTTGTGTGGTCAGCTACAATCCCTAGGTTGGCTGCAGCATTTCAAAGATCTTTTATTGGCACCTACGGTCTCAATGTATCCCAAGAAAATATTCTCTATACTATTATCCTACCAGTAGCACCAACCTGAACTATTGATAGTAGGTAGAATAGAGTGTTATGCTTTTATGTTGTTTATGCTAAATTCTGGCCCTGCCATCCAAGGAATATAGATTTCAAGATGCATTAGACTAGGTGACATTTTTCCAATTTTTTGTTGTCCAATATTTATGATACTTAGCAAATTGTAGCCTCAGTTTCTTGTTCTTATTTGACATGAGTGATATCCAGTGTGGTTTCTATTGCTGTAGCAGAACTGTTTCAAGGTTCAATGTATTGTGCATTCAGAGATGCTCCATTATAAAGAGTGGCTATTTGAGTGAATGTTGCCTTTCTGTCAGCTTGAACCACTTTGACAACTGACCGTTTTTATCAACAACAGAAGTGCTGATCACTGGAATTTCTTTTTCTGACCATCCTCAGGAAACCTTGGAGTCATTCATTTTTAATTTCCATGATCTTTATTAATGTTAGCAGTTTTGTCCTAAGTTGACCTTCTAGTTCTTTGAGCGTTCATTGCTAGGAAATTTATTGGGGGGGGCATTACAAGTGGACATTAATTTTCTTTTATTTTGTTCATTTCTAACCCCACAAACAGATTTCCCCAATTTAGGTCATTATGTATTTTTCATAATCTAGAAAATGATTCAAATTATAGTAAAAGGGAGTTGGCATATTGTAGAGGGTTTAGATTTTCTTCGTTTATGCTGACTCTCTGCTTTTCCCAGTTAATTTTCCTGCTGGAATTCATATTCAATTGAATTGGTTCCAATCCTGGATAGGAATAACTGCAAAAACACCTCCTTCCTACCCCTTTGTAGGCAGAACATGCATATTGAGATTTCTTCCTAGCCAATGAGGATACTTCTCAGTCTCATCTGACTTAGGTCTGTTCTTTCTTATCTTGTAATCAGAATGCTGTGATTGCTTGTCTGTATACCCTTTTGTGTTTTAGTGAGTGGCTACTTCAATAATTAAATGTGTAAGGCTTCTTATGGAAACATTTTGTAGTACATGGTGGTGAAGAAGAATACATGCAGAAAATAACTGACCAGTTGATTTGCAATGGAAGATAGCATTTATTAAAACAAAATTAAGGAAAGGAAAGTTTAAAACAAGAGTTTCTTTTGTTAGAAGTTAATTGCATACAAAACAAAATGTTCATGAATATATTTGAGTGAGACTTACTGTGTTCGTGTGTTTTAGTGTAAAGCATCCACAGGCCTTTTAGCTTCACCGTGGAAAGTTCATGTCACGTAATTCAAAAGTGGAAAATCCGAAAGAGTGAGTTAATTTAAGGTTCACATGTTTTTTATATTCCATAGCTGCTGCTGTATTTGGGGTTGCTACTGATATACTGGTATTAAAAGGCACTACAGTATGTTAACACCATTAATTTGTGAACCTTTTGCCTTATTACTGTTGTTTTGCCATGGATATATTGTCTGCTTAATATTATTTTTTGCCCTGTTCTTTTCTTTCTCTTGTTATTGTTTATTGGAAACTTTGTCAATTGTTTGTTGGGCAAAGTTCT